ATACTTTAAATTGTGAACATACACAGTAGTTCTCCATGCTCAAGTAGACCTTAAGCCTCCACGTCCTCTTAAAAAAAAAAAAAAAAAAAAAAAATGCCCAGCAATTCTCTCTGCTGTTCTAGGTTGGTTTAGCAGTAGTAAATGGCCAGTTGATGGCAGTTGGAGGATTTGACGGTACCACATACCTAAAAACTATAGAAGTCTATGATCCTGATGTGGGTGACGGCAGTCAAGTCAGTGTGTGGTGCTGGTCGTTTTTCAGGAGAGGAATAGTCTTCAACAATTACTGCAAACTCGTATTTAAGTCTGGCACTGTTCTGCAGGGTTCCCACGCTTCTTGAAAGTGCTTGAAAGTACTTGCATTTCAGACATATGGATTCAAGGCCTGGAAAGTACTTGAAAACAAACATAGGTCCTTGAAAGTGCTTGAATTAAATTTGAAATAAAATTAGTTTATGCAGGGATGAAAGTTTTCCGTCACTACGATGAATTTCCGTCAATTGGAAAAAAAAAAAAAAATGAGGGGAAAAGAAACATGTAGCGCATTGTTGTTGTTATTGTTGTTCTGCCGGCACACCAAAAATCATCCCCGGCCACGGCTGCAGCTTCTCAGTGACAACATAGGGTTGCCGCTCGCATCATTCACAGTCGGGTTATTAGACAGAGCAGGATTTGAATTTCGGCGCGGGATTGCGGCTATTAATAACAATTCTACTCATCCCTGCAGGTTCCGCGCTTATAACGCGATGACGGAATGTATCATTTGCACATGCTTTTGAGTCTTGAGAACTCACTCGCGCGCTCTCATTTTCTGTGCGCCCACAGATCGCGATAAGGAGAGTGACAGCTTTTAATAATTAAGGCAGTTAGCCAATGTGATATTGATTCAATACAACAGTTCAGTAAACAAGTACTGCCTGATTTTGCCTTCATTCCTGAATGAATCAGCCGTTCGAACGAATCAATTGAACAAATGATTCAGTGATAAAATCGGTGATTTGCCGCCACCTGCTGGCGGATTTAGTTTCATTTTTAGCGTATAATTTCAGTTATTTTATAATTTTATATAAAATTTTATATTTAAAACATTAATCTCCACATAAATGTATGAATTTAATTGCACTCATGCCACCTCTGAGCCTCATTAAACGTCTGAAAATGTACCTACAAGCCACTTTTGTGTTCTTCTGTGCCACCTCTGTACAAATAAATTTTTTATTAATACTAATTTCATATGATTGGTAACCTGTTTGTCTTATTCTACTTCATATTATATTGTTTTAAATATAAATTTTAAAAAGCTTATAAACATAATTTTTTGAATTTGACATAGATGAAAAAGATGCATTACAAAGGTAAAAAGAATATACCCCTGTAAGTCACTTTGAGTCAAATGTCACCTCATATTAGGTGTAAATAATTTTTTATTGTTTTTTTTTATTATTTTAAATTAGGAGGACAAGCGCTCCTAATTATAAGAAGAAGAAAAAATGCTTTTAAACTGTGTGTGTGACAGGTATGGCTGTGGAATGGGTTTTGGCTGAGGAAAACTGTTCAGTCAAAATATATATATTTTTTTTTTTTTGCTTTAACCCCTATTTATGGTGCTATTTCAAAAATTGTCCTATATGTTCTGTCAAAGACAGAATGAAACGGCACTAATGATTGGGGGTGGAGATGGGGTAGTGTGAAAAAAAAACTTAGCGTGTGTGTTGATGTGCAGCCTAGAGCCTTGGGGACAGTTTTCTTAATCCCGCTCCCGCTGAATTTCTGACCATTACCGCCGCCCACTCCCACAACGTGTGTGTCCCGCTCCCGCAAACATTCTAATATTGTATATTATTTTCGCACATCAGTGAGCCGCTATCAATATGCAGGGTATTGAAATCGCATTTGAATGAGCGCTCTCACAGTTCACTTTCACTTCCGATTTCGCGATCATGCGCACTCTGTGTAAAGGGAGCACATCTTACAGTGTGTGCATAATTAAGTGATATATAATTGTACATGAAGGCTGGAAATAAAAAACTCCTTAGTAAGGTGTGCAGAATTATTAGGCAGGTTTTCTTTTAGAGATGAAATGAGCCAAAAAAGAGATTTAACTCAGACTGAGAAGTCAAAAATGATTAAATCCCC